GCCAGATCTGAATGAGGGTGGGGGAGGTTCAATTTGCCATGTTGCAACGAGCTTAGCTTCTGTCTCGCTAGCTTGCGCTATGCTCAGTGGATCTGCACTCGACGGTGCAGCCTAGGTGGAGTAGTCAAACGCAGATCCACTGAGCGCTCCAACACAGACAGCATCGTCAGAAGAAAGGTTGATCAAATAAATTAAAAATTTTGTATTGTTCGATACATATGCGTACTGAACCGAAAGCACTGTATCGAACGGTTCAATACCGATACGAGTATCGTTGCACCCCTAATAGATATATATATGAATAGATATATATAGATATATAGATATGTGTGTGTGTGTGTAACTTCTTGTATCTTACTTATAGCTCTCAAAGACTCAAGTAAGAGGTCCATCAACAATGACTGGAAAATTGAACTTCCAGGAGAATTTGAGCTGGCTGGAACCACAGTGCGCTATGTTAGAAGAGGAATATGGGAGAAGATGTCTGCCAAGGGACCCACTAAGACTCCTTTATATCTAATGGTAAATTGATTTGTATTGCTACTCATGGAAACAAACACACACACACAGATACACTACCAGTAAAAAGTTGACTGGTAGTTGAAAAGTTAGACGCATATACTGATTTAATGTTTTTTCTTAATTTTAGATTCTCATTGAAGGCATCAAAACTGTTAATGAATACATACAGAAGAATTATGTAATAAATAAAAATGTCTGAAATAACTCAAAACATGTTTTAGATTTTAGATTCTTTAAAATAGCCACCCTTTGCTTTGATTACTGCTTTGCACTCTCTTGGCATTCTCTTAATGAGCTTCATGAGGTCGTCACCTGAAATGGTTTTCCAACAGCTTTGAAGGAATTCCCAGAGATGCTGTGCACTTGTTGGTCCTTTTGGCTTCACTCTGCGGTCCATCTCATTCCAAACCATCTTGAACTGGTTTAGCTTAGGTGACTGTGGAGGCCAGGCCATCTGGTGCAACACTTCACATCACTCTTCTTCTTGGTCAAATGGCCCTTCCACAGCCTGGAGGTGTGTTTGGGGTCATTGTCCTGGTGAAAAATAAATGATGGTCCAATTAAAAGCAAACCGGAACCAATGATGGCATGTCGCTGCAGGATACTGTGGTAGCCATGCTGGTTGGGTGTACCTTCAGTTTTGAATAAATCCCCAACCAGCAAAGCACCCCCACACCATCACACCTCCTCCTCCGTTCTTCACGGTGGGAACCATGCATGTAGAGACCATCCGTTCACCTTTTCTGGACTGCACAAAGACGCGGTGGGTTGAATCGAAGATCTCAGATTTGGACTCATCAGACCAAAGCACAGATTTCCACTGGTCTAATGTCCATTCCTTGTGTTTCTTGGCCAAAAGAAATTTCTTCTGCTTGTTGCTTTTCCTTAGTCGACATTTCTTAAAGGCCTGATTCACGCAGTCTCCTCTGAACAGTTGATGTAGAGATGTGTCTGCTACTGTGTGCATTTATCTGGGCACTAATCTGAGGTGCTGTTGTGATTTCTGAGGCTGGTTATTCAAATGAATTTATCCTCAGGAGCAGAGGGGACTCTTGGTCTTCATTTCGTGGGGCGGTGCTCATGTGAACCAGTTTTAGTGTAGGGCTTGATAGTTTTTGCGACTGCACTTGGGGACACAAAAAACCTCTAAGTTTTACCAATTTTCTGGACTAACTGACCTTTAATTCTTAAAGTAATGATGGACTGTCGTTTCTTTTTACTTCACTGATTGGTTCTTGCCATAATATGAATTCTAACAGTTGTCAAATAGGGCTGTCAGCTGTGTACCGACCTGACTTCTGTTCCCAACCGCATTAAGAAGGCAAGAACTTCCACAAATGAACCCTGACAAGGCACACCTGTGAAGGGAAAACCAATTCAGGTGACTACATCATGACACTTACTGAGAGAAGGCCAATGGGTTTGCAGCACTGTCAACAAAGCAAAGGGTGGCTACTTTCAGGAATCTAAAATATAAGAAAATATAGTTATTTATTCATTTATTCTTTGCTTCATAATTTCATATATCTTGAATT